TCATTCTTTAGTGTCCCTTAATTTTAAATGAAGCCATAATCCTGGAAAGAGGCACTTCTTAATGCTCTGGGTAATATCATTAAGGGATGAAACCACTTAGTAACAGAAAAAATTCATCATTTGCAATAATTATACTCAGCTGTAAAGGGCCAAATTCATATCTGGTGTAAGCAAGCCCTATAGCTTTATATTCTGTTTTATCTAGTCGCTGAAGGACTGAAAGGATAGCTGGATTTATCAAGTTTGATTTTGATCATTTACACCCATTTCCCTGGAATGGACCTCCAATAAAAGCCCACTCAGGCTTCCCAGGCTTAACACAGATGCTAAGGACAGTTCATTGGCATTGCTCATCACCCAGCAGGTCAAATGAAACATGATTCATACAAAGAACTGGGGGATAATTCAAGATGCATGATTAATTAATAGAATATTATTAGGTCCAGTTGTAAGAACATTTCCATTTTTGCAGAACTAATTTTCCAAGTACAGCATGTATCCATTGTTTAATCTTCTCCAATGCTAAATACTTAATAGGCATTTTTCAATGCAGACTTAGTTGCAAGAAAAACATCTGTACCAAATTTTAATTTTACATTCATGCTGATTTCGTGGATTATTCAGAAACATACTGCATACTAAGAAAGGAAGGAAAGAAAAAGTGCTACCTCTTGATCCACAGTGAAATAACTAGTGGAAAGTCACTACAGGTAACATTCTGAAACATTGCCATAATGCAAGGTTTCTCCCTTTTCTTTGTCCCATAAGGCATATTCAAACCCACACATATACAATGATAGTCAGGGATTACTGGTCTGTGTGTAAAAAATGTTTAGACAGGAAATGCCCTCTCTCTCTTTTATTAGATGTGGTCAGTTGGGAATCTAATAAAACAAAACAAACAAAAACCCTCCAAACACTTGGAACTATATAGAATTTGATACCTTCCAACAACCTTATAAACAGTGAATTTCTATTTAATCTGATATAAGCAGCATCTTCTTTCCTGATATTATTCCTGCAGATAGTATTACTTTTTACTAACATGGTGTAGTTTTTCTGAAACATTGGTTTCATGAATGTTAGTTCTCTTTACATTTTGTGGGCCAAATCTTCAACTGGGGTAAATCAATATAGCTTCTCTGAGGTCAATGTGTCTATGCCAAGTTATATCAGTTTAGGAAGCAGCCTTCTTTTGTGTTAGTTGCATAGAAAACTGAGATTGTATTCAAATTATATACAAAACTAGAAAATAAATTGCAACATTTCCTAAATGCTTTTTGAGAGAGATATGATGCTGGTGATGTTATTTATTATTTGTATAGTGCCTCAAATTGGGATAGGCACTTTGCAGAAAAAAAAAATAAAGACATAGTATGGAAGAAGTTCAAAATAACCAGATCATGCCAACACTGACTAATGAATACAGTTACTACTAGTGGGGGAACTACAGTGATTGCAATGGAAACGTTCACAGTTGTGAGCACTACACTTGTAGTTATTTTTTGCAGTACTGGACCATACTACTGGAATTATTACATGAATGGATGGGTGAGAAAAACAATTGCAGAGATGAGGCAAGACAAAATGACAATATGAAGATCACATGTTTACTTAGCTATGGTATGTGCACACCTTGAAGGTTCCATTCAAGTTTTTTTTATGTTAAAATAATTCCATAAATAATCTCCATTTATAAAAACGGATAAATTAACTCCAGTGGGCTGCAGCATGTGTTTGTTATCAATTCCACCAGTAGCTGAGTGGTTTAGATCCTAATCTTCAAAAACTTTTAAACCCTTTCCAAATCACTCTTGCCCTGGTGGTGCCCTTCTTTCCTGGATTATTCATACCCAGCAGCAAGTGTAAAGCTACAATACTGCTTACAAACATCCTCACAGCAAGTCTCACTCAGCTCAACAGTAATGACATGCTCTTCTCTCAGTGGGGAATTTCCCTGATATATCCTGAATATTCCAGAACATTTAGAGACCACTGCATTGCACATTAGGCAAACAGTATGGGAAAGTGGCACACACATTGCTCTGCAATTTTTCCTGGGAAGCAAGAAATCGTATTAGGCAATCCTTGAGCTGGCTCTCCAAAATTTCTAGTCATTGTACAAGTGACAGTGCAAATTCATTACATGATGAAAATAAGGGAAATTGCCCATACTAAGAGTCCAACTAGTACCCTGAGGTAAATAGAAAGATTTGCTAGATCATGCCGTAAGAAACCCAACAATATCAGAAAACCTTATTAGCCATAATTAGTAACGTTAATTTATTAAGCCTATTGATAAATTTATAGTATACAACCTAAACAAATGAAGAACATTAAATAATATGGACCCGATCTTAAAAAATGGAGATTCCACAGTGATAGACATGAAAAAAGGGTCTGAAGGCTTATCTACACAGATAAATTAATCTGGATTAAGATAGGGTGTGGATTTAAAATGGAATAGCTATTACTGAATAACTCCCTGTGTGAGCGCTCTTATCCCAGAATAAGAATGCCTTAATCCAAATTAGTTTGATCCACTTGAATAAAGATAATTCAGATTAATGTACTTTTATTCCAGAATAAAAGCATCCAGACAGGAAATTAATCAGGAATAGCTATTGCAGAATAACTTCCTGGGTAGCCAAACCCTGAATAGAAATCTCTACTCCCTTTTAATTTAAAATTGGATTTGCTGGTGTTCAGCTTCTTGCAGGGTTACACCATATATCATGAATAAATATTGCCCCAGGATCATTTTAAATTCACAGTCACAAAGGGATATTCTTTTGGGGGGGGGGGAAACTAACACAAGTCAGCCTCACAGACTCTTGATTGTACTAAATTGCAACTGAAAACGTATTTAATCAATTTTACTGCAATTGTTTTCTGTTGTAGAAACATCAGGAAAAAATGCCATCAAAGAGCAGCTGGAAGAATGGTAGTTTTCTGATAAGCAGCTGCAGAAGGGAGTATTGTTGCATTATTGATTAAAATGGGCAGCTAAAACCACAATCACACACCATAAAACCACCACATTGTGACGTACGGCTGTGCTGCTGCAAAGCTGTGGTAAGATCTCTAACCTAGTGTCATCGAAAAATCGCTGACATTAATTTAATATCTGTTAAATAAGTTCCTTTCTACTTCACTGTAAGATCAATGTCAATAAGAATTTAAAGCTAGTTATTTCTGATTTCTGAATTTAGCCAGAAGTATTTTTCTAGCTATTTCTTAGGGATCAAATGCCAGTTCCACTGTGGAATGGACTGACCATTTCATAAAACTCCTCAGGCATTTTAATTCACAGATTTACCAGTCACACAAAGCTGACTATTCTCAGCAGAGCCTTTTCCATTTTTCCAGTTTAATGACATAGTGCTGAGGATAGGGGCTCACTGTTCATTTGTGCTACGTCCTCACTACGGGGAGGGGGGTCGATTTAAGATAAGCAAATTCAGGTATGCGAATAGCGTAGCTGAATTCGACGTATCGGAGCCGACTTACCCCGCTGTGAGGACGGCGGCAAATCGACCTCCGCGGCTCCCCCGTCGACGGCGCTTACTCCTACTTCCGCTGGTGGAGTACAAGCGTCGATTCTGGGATCGATTGTCGCGTCCCGACGAGACACGATAATTCGATCCCCGAGAGATCGATTTCTACCCGCCGATTCAGGCACGTAGTGTAGACGTAGCCTTGGAGGGCAACATAAAGCCAGATTGCTGTCTCCCAGTTAAACAGGCAATCTGGGGTCCTTGCACAGCCCAAGTGTCCCCTCCTCTCCGGCCCACACACTCTAGCCCCATCCCAACTTGGATTCTCACTCAAGTACCCTCACCTCATAAGGACTCACCAATTCTTCTTCGGACAGGCTGAACCTATGTACTTCCCAGACCACAGTTTCCTCTATTCAGGCAGGCTGGGGTCTATCCCAGAGGAGGAAAGACTCAGCCTCCACTTTGCCAAACACAGGACTATGTCTGGAGCGTTACCTCTGTCTAGAACACCCCAGTAGAGTCAAGACCCAGGTGACAGCAACAAGGACCCCCCAAGCACAGAGTCCTCTGCTGGGATGGTATTGGTGGGACCCCTCAAAGCAGTGGATTTCAGAGCTAACAATTAAGGTGAATGGGACAGTCCAAGCTATTTTTTCAGGCTGTCTCCAGACTCAGGCAGAATCACTGTATTGCTTACAACTGAGTTTTCACAATCATGACAAATTTTTAAAATATAAAGTTGAAATTCTGAAGTATTTGCATGAGTCCAGGAGCACGGCCCTAAGCAATGGGCCTACAGTACCATGGATAATACTACTGACCTTGAAGTGAAACTTAATATTCTTTGTACATGAATTATATTGTAAATAAAACGTGCTGTGTCAATGTTGCAAAGCAGCTGGAAATCTTCCCTACAGGGCAGCCGAAGAGTCCCCCAACAGAAAGGAATCTGGCTTGACTCCATAGCATTTCAGATGTGTACATTCTCTTTTATCTGATTAACTAAATCCCACATTAGTTTACCCTCACTGCAGCTGAGGAGATCTGGGAGTGCAGAGGAAGCTCTACACCATTTTTCTGCTCCCCTGATCATGGACAAGCTGGGGGACATGAGCAGCATAAAGACTGCTCTAAATTATGTTGTCTGCAGTGGCCTCATAGGGACAAGGATCAGGTGAAGTAGCATGAGCTCCATTCTTCCTCAGCATGCCCCCTATATGGAGGGGGACATGGGTGATGCAGAGTCAGCCACACTACCTGGAGATTCCTTTCTGTTGGGAGACTCCTTGGCTGTCCCTGTAGGGAAGATTTCCAGCTGCTTTGCCCCCAGAGACAGCACAAAGCAGGTTTTATTTACAATATAATTCACGTGCAGAGAATATGAAGTCTCATTTCAAGGTCAATATTATTCCCCATGTGATGTTTTTCATATAAATACAAAGGAAATGGTCAGAGACGCACCAATCTGGCATGAATATAGAAAAGGAAAAAAGGACTTACTGTGCTCCACTCTGTATTAAACCACTTAGCCCCACAGGGTTTGAGGTAGCAGGACTGCTGGCTGGAAGGTCTTTCCAAAAATGAACATTCATAAGGGTTCAACACATCAAAACTGCCTTCCGTTTTTCTAATACAAATGACTTCTCTCTGTTGGGTTCCGCTGCCACATTCAATTGAACACTGCATCAGGAAACAGAAAGAGTGGTGGAAGTCACATAACAGCATATCTCTGATATTCTAGTCACGTACTCTAGCTACTCTCATAAATTAAATATGCATTTTAGACTAGCGTTCTGTGCCACCAGAGGGATAGTCACACTTTATAAGTATTAATGTTCTGAAGGAAGAAGCTTTAAAGCTTGGTTGGCTTATGCTCCAAGTCCCTGGATACAAATCTGGACTGCAACATTCTAAAGTCTTCTTGTACATCCTTGTTCCCTGCTTCCACTGAACTGAGGCAGATCTTTCTTCTCATCCCCAGCCCTGCAGACCTGATTATTCACTCTTTCCGATGCCCTGCCCACAGCCCAACTTTATTTTATGCTAGAAAATGGCAGGTGAAAAGTGGACTTGAAATACTGCTGCCCCAGGAAATATTAGACATAGCACTTAACCTTAATTGTGCCCTGAGGCCCTGATTCAGCAATGTACTTCAGCACATGCTTATTATTAAGCTTCTGAGTAGTCCCATAAAAGTCATTGGGACTACTCATATGCTTCACGTTTAGCCTGTGTTTAAGTGCTTCACTGGCTCAAGGCTATACAACTTTTTGTCACGTTTTTGCTGGAGCACAGCAATCAGCGGAGCGCTGTGAAAGAACTTGCAAGTTCTAGGCTAACAGGTTCTGTTCGTTGTACTGTTCCATATGGCTGGCCAATAAACAAATGACACACAAGATTTCCATTGTTTATTTATTTATTTGGGCACCAAAGTACATTTTTCAAAACTGTCCATAAGGAAACAGGATTACTTGGTTTAAAAAAATAAATCTTGTTACCCAAAATTAGCGTCAAATTTTCAGAGGTGCCTAAGTGACTTAGGAGCCTAAGTCTCATTGACTTTCAAATGAGAATTAGGGCTGGTCTACACACAGTTTTTACAATGCTTTAATTATGTCAGTTTAGAAGTTTTATACTAGTATAACTGCATCCACATTAGGTAGTTGTACCACCTTAATTGTATCAGTTTCTAAACTGGCATAGATAAAGCGATATAAGTACTCACCTTGAAGATCACTTGGAAGCAATGGAAGATGCACAGCATTTAGTCAGCAGGTGATGAAGAAGGGTTATCAGAAATACACTTGGAGGATTTAGTGAGAGCCAACAAAACATTTTTCTCCAATAAACTTAAAAAAAAAATCACATTCTGAATGGATTATATCAGGAAACTTTTGTGTTTCCTATAGAGCATATGACAGCTGTAACTGTTGATTTGAATTCAGAGCATGAAATTCCAACAAATGTGAACATTACCAAAACCAAACCAAAAAGGATACTCCGACTAAAGCCATGACAACACCATTAGCTTAGTTTCCCAAGCTATGTTAAAAGTAAAGAAGCAAAAGGTATAAACACAGGATTCTTTATCTTTACATTTCACAGCTGTTTGATTTCTGTACTTGGTCTCAGCATAGTATATTTATATGGCAGTTTCTTTTTCTTACTTATAGGAAGAGGAAGGTCCATCGCTGTCTTGAGAACTATTGCACACTTTTTATCACAAGGATTGATTTTGCTCATAAAGTAAACTTTATAGGAAACTTAGGTTAAACGCTGAGACAATACACTTTCACTAAACTAAAATATCAGTCCATGATATTAAACTGAAATAAGTTGGAGGCTTTCCATTTTGTTATGTTTGAGAATGACTGGTATTAAAGTTCGTAATGTGATAACGTATAACTTGAACCAGGCCAGTATGGGATACAAATTTCTGTGAGGCTCTGTGAAAAGGAACATTGAGGATAAACGTTGAGAACCCTATATTTATTCATTATGTTTTAGGAGCCAATTTAGCTTACAGCAGCCATCTGAAAATAAGGATCACAGCGCAGTCTGAACAAGGCACAAATCAGGAAGCTTATCTGTTAGGATATATCCTGAGAATACTAAGGGATGTTAATCATAACCTTGTACATTTAGAGTCTCTTTTTAAGGCCTAAAGAGAGCCTCACAAGAAAATTTACCTTATGTCCTAGCCTGTGAACCAATTAATAATATTTACTTATGGCCAGCAAACTAGTCTCTACTTTGCCAAATGCATGATAATAGCCTAAAAAAGACTTTCTGTTTTGCCTTGGTTTTCATTAGTGGAATGGAATATATGTATGAGCATATAATACAGATCATATGACATCAATGGAAGAGTTTTATTTCTTTTCATAGGAAAAGGCTATCACCACCACAAACATTTTCCGGTGAACTCTCTTATGGGCTTTCTGTAGTTGTGAACTGTTGATACAGGGTTGGGAAGTTGAGGGAATATTGCTTGATCATTCAACTCTTCTACACCACTGGCCTGGCAAGCATTAACAAAAATCAGATTCTTTTAATTCTCCACTGGTGGCAGCAATGGTAGACATGCTGGTGGAGGCAGGGGGAGGTGGTTTTTTACCATGTATTATCATGAATTTGCTTTACTGGTGCATGCAACCTCTCCTTTGCTTTCCATGAATGGTCATATGCACAAGTTCTTGTCTGAAATAGTGTTAACAGACAGACAAGGCCTTGTGAATATGTATGTCATATTAAAGAATAAAACAATATTTTAATTCTTATAATCTTAAATGGACTATGGGCTAAGATGGGTTTTAACATTAAAATATTCTCCCTGAGCCTCCATCACAGATGAGGCCAAAAGAAAACAGTGGCTTGCCTCCACTGGCCTTCCACCAGAATGCATAAGAATAGGATAAAAGACAGTGATGCCCACAGGTACCATCAGGCTCCAAGAGACATGCTGCTAAATATGCTGTGTGAATGCTGGGTGGGAGATGGTGTGTCCAGTTCCATCTCATGAGCATTGCTTAAACAAGACATCCGGTGGCTTTTCATATGCATTGCCAATGGCAACTACTGGGTATAAGATGGTTTGACTATCATTAATAGGGATGTATCATTGAGAACTGGCCTTGAGAGGACTGAAGTCATCAATGGCCACTGTCTGCTGGCACTTTCTCATCACATTGCCTGCCCTTCTGGTTACACAAAGTCCCCACATATCGAGCTCTGAAGATTGGATTTGATGTCAGGAGGGGACCCAGCCCGGTTACCAAAAGTGTTACAAATCTTTATGTTTTGTTTGCTAGTGACTTGTTTGTTTTTGCAAACACTGAGCAAAAGAAAAAAAACCTAACTGATTACATTCACCAAACAACCACACAATGTGTGAAATAACTGCACCTATCCAGGACTCTGTTCTGCCCCACCAGCCTTCCCTGCACCTTCTGCCTGTAGGGATCGGGTGTCACTGGCCCTGTGGCAACACAGGGATCCCTCTGCAGCTCCGCTGTCTAGGTCATCTTGCTCATTCCCATGACAGCAGGCCTGCAAATGGCTCCCTGTGCTACTGCAGGAGCCATCCAGCAGCAGGGTGGCCTCCCACATGGCCTGGGGCATGTTCTCGTCCTCGCAGTCCTGGCCAGGGGGTCTCTGCTCTAGTATGCAAACCTCTGCATTATCTGAATCCCTTCCTTGTCCCCCAGCATGAAGTACATGGGGGGACAAGGAAGGAATTCGGATAATATCAAGGCTTGGATAATAGAGTTTCGGCTGAACCTGAGTATAAGGTACCTGCACTGGACATCTGCCGCAAGTCTTACTTACTAAGGTGTGACATTTAAACATAACCCTCCCTGCTCCACTATCACTGGGTCCCAAACCTGCTGTGGGGAAGGCAAAAAACCTACCCCACCTCTCCCAGACTAGTGGTGACCCAGCCCCCAAGGGAAAAGGGCAACTAGCGTAATGCCCAGAGCAGGTCAAGAGGAAACCCAGTTCTTCTATGATTACATGGCTGGGAGGGTGCTGCCCACCCTGTCCTGGTGAAAGATGGCTTCTCCGGGACTGCACGGGATATAAATACTCTCCCAGTTAGCTGGAAGGGCACAACATCTGCTTTCAGGGGAAGGAGGGTCACCCTCCTCTGAAGCATCTGGTGTTGACTACTGGCAGGGTACAGGGCATGCACCTTGATCTGATCCAGTCTAGCAATACCCTATTTGGTATGGTTACAATCAGTACTCCTAGAGAAATCCAATACTGTGTTGCTACCAGCACACGTCTTTGTTTGTTGCTTTTAAAAGGGAGGGACGTGTTCACTGATACTGCTCCTGATTCAAGCAGGATTATAATCACTAATCCTTCGAAGGTTAGAGTTCATTTCTGCAGCTTTACAAATTCTCATAGTGTGCGCAGTTTTTAGAAAACGCCTGAATCTGCCAGGGTTTTCCTTTAGTGTTTGCACATATCTATGTGAGGTGGTGTTGGTTCCAGTCTGAAATGGAAATTTGGCTCACATGGGCTCTTATTGCTTGTTTAAAGGTTAAATACACACGATACTGTTCCTGGCATTGTTTGAAAGGCCTTTAGAAGATTATTCCAGCAGCATATTGGTTTCTGTGTTGCATAAAGGAGTATGATTTTCAAAGGCTTATTCTGGCCTAAAACAATTGAGTGTTATTAATAATGGGGATTCTGTTTATGTTTTGGGTGGAATTTTGTGATCCCTTGACCAGATAACCACAAAAACCTTGGCACCAATGAAAAAGTACAGGGTGTGTTGAGAAAATCAGCATACAGTTTACCTAGGCTAACATGCACATATAGCATAAGCTCAGAATCATATAATTCCTGCAGCAGAGAGGCTGCAAACTACCCTTAACAGCACAGTGATGGGTACTGTGTCATACTCCTATCAGGAAGAACATGAGCAAATCAGCTACTGAACAGAATAAACAACAGGAGAAACAATGTAGCTGCATTTTCTTTAACTGCTATATAGAACATCCCTGCCACTCCCCTCCTTCAGCAATTCTACCCAGAAAGCTTTAATAGTCAGCCAAAGCTCCAGAAGCTGCCCTGACCGCACTCCTTTTACTGGATGGAATAGAGCTAATATCCTCTTAGGATAATACTATTTCTATCTCAGAGAGATGCAGTTATATGTGGAATTTCTG